CTGCCTCATTGAGGGCAGCATTTCCTTCTGTTCCCCTGAGAAGGTAGCATGACAACCTCACCTCCCCTCAAATCCTGCAGAAGACTTGTTTATCAATGGCAGTTTTGATCCAGAAGGAAAACTCTGGGGGAGGAGGTAAATGTCCTCACACAGGTGAGAGCTGGGGGCATTTCCAGCAATGGAGCCTTGGGTTGTGTTGGCTGAACTGTCACTAGGTGCGAGTGCAGTCAGCTGTTGAGGATGTCTCTTCTCTGAAGAAAGCCAAGGGAGAAGGGTGGATGTGCTTACCTTAGCCAGGGACATCCCAGGCAGCGAGTCTGACTCTTCCCAGCTCAGCCTGGAGACTAGCTGTGGAGCAGAGCCTGTCCTCCACCAGCTGACAGGTTCTGCAAGGTTGCCCTGACCAACTGACACCAACACACAACATGGAACCTCTGCATACAGCTGTGCCATGGGGAGGCCCTGGCCCAGCTCTGGGAAGGGACTCAGCTGCCTTTTTTTGGCATGGGTTTGCATGGAAGGTCATGTCAACAGTGCATGACATGGACTCATCTGGCACAGCTTGCCAGACGTTTCCAATCCCTGTTCTTCTGAAATGTGAATGGCTCACCTTACAGTGCCCCCTCCCTTCTTTTCCTTTCAGGTAGGTTCCCTTCTTGGCTTGCCAGACCCTTGCAGTCCTTCCTCCCTTCCATCCCCTGTAGAGATGCCTTGCCTGGGCACTGGAAACAAAGCCTTTATGGCTCTGAGGCTGGGTATTGAACCTCAGCAAACTGGTGAGGTTTGGTGAGCACAAGGCAAAAAAAAAAAAACGAAGAGGTTTGCTGCAGAATATATATGGAGTCAGTCAGAGATCAATATGATCAGGCAAAAAGCCGTTTATTACAAAGCCTTAACCCCTTAAATACTGTTTCTTACATGCACTTACAGTGATTTGGCATATGATGATTGGATACATGTCTTGAAGACCCTTAGTGGCTAACATATACTTGGTTAAGCACAGGTGAGAACTTGACCTTGAAAGCTTGCCAACAGTCCACAGTTCTCATTAACTCAGTGAAATCCAGCTTCTTCTTGTCTTGCTTGCTTAAGCTTCCTTGGGCCTCTCATGGCCTTGCTGTATCTTTCAGGATTATTCAGAATTTATGTACCGATTATCCATTCTCCTGTGAGAACACTGTCCCCACAGAGATTGGAACTGGGCTGAAAGGAAATGATCAGTCTGTTAGCTGCCAAGCAGCTCACTATTGGATGGATTGAACTTGTGGGGCCTAAGGCTGCAGCAAGAGCTACCCATGGGAGCACCTTCTCATTGTACAGAAAAAATGATGAGTAGAATTCTTTTCCTTGTAATAAAGTCCTATAAGAATTTAGAGAAGCAAAATGAGGTAACCCTTGCAGAGATAGGATCTGCTCAGTGTCCTGTGACCTGTTTGTAGAACCATTCAGTGCTGCACAACTCGAGGTTCCCAGTATCAGAAGGGACATAGGAATATCTACAGTATCCACTCTTTCTTTATAGTGTTACCTCTGGTTACTAGCATTTTAAATGGTACTTTACAGCCTGAATGCCTCTCTTACTGGGATCATAATGAAATAGCATTTCTTAGTGCAAAACACCAGCACCAGCTGCACAACTAGTTGTTGACCCACAGGATCCATCCACTCCTCCTCAGGCCCTTCCCCATCACTGACAGGATCAAGGAGAATATCACTTGGGCTCTCATGCCCTTGACCCCTAAGCCATGTAGTCGTGTTTGATGTGCTCCAGGTCTCCTCCAGGAGTATTGATTGTTGCCCACATGGAAGAGAAGCAGGGAGTAATAGTCTGAGGGAAGGACAAGCATCAGCAATATTTCCATATCATAAATACCACCCCTGGCAAACGGCAAACTTGCCTGAATGATGCATGAGGTTGGCAGATGGGGGCCTCAGTTCCTTAACAGAAGAGAATTGTCCCCTGAGGCAGAGGTGACCCCAACAAAGAGAGTACCTAAAGGCCACTTTTAAGAAACTTCCACTTAACAAGAGTCTGTCTAGGAGATCCAAAAGGGAACCACAGCAGCAGGTTAGCACCTCGGCTCTGTACTGCTTTGGTAGATGGGCTTCAATAACTCAGCTGTTCTGGGACACCACCAGTATGACTGAAGTCCCCGGTGCTCTACACCATGCCAGCACTGTTGCACCTGCATGGAGCCCGCAGTGTTCTACCACCACTCAACCCACATGCCTAGCAGAAATATGGGAAGTTCTGCTCATATGGCTTTGCCAGAAGAAATGCAAATGGCAGTGGTGGCTCTGTGGTTGCCTTGCTACATATCAGTTGCAGGAGAGCTAGAACTACACAGACTGCTTTGTTCTAGTGATACATACTGCCTGCTTCCTGCCAGAACTGCCTGAACTTCTAGCCTAGTCCACAGGCATGGGTAGGCATCTGGACAGAACAGGGTTGCAATTGCAGTACATGCATTGATTCGGCATAAACAAGAGCTTCCCTCATGGAATTATGTTTGTTTTCTGTAGGGTACTTGAATGCTTGTGGAGGAAGTAGAAGTGCTTGTTCTCATGTGGATACAAGTCATCAATAACTCCATTGTTTGGAACTACCAAGAGCAGGGTTGCTACACTCCCATTAAGAGTGCGATAGTGTCTGTTACTTGGACAGTTTTCATCCACTGCTTACATTTACTTTAATAACTCTTTGGTGATATCAGTAGCTGTGGAGGGATGGCCAGAAACCTCAGCAAAACCCACAGCACTCTAGAAACAGGAAGCCACCACTTGCTTTTCAGAGCTACGAAACAGTCTCTCAATTTTGGAATGACTCATAATGCTTTGGCTCTGCGGTGTAGCCACATTATATGGCTTCCACATCAGCCACTTTTTAGGCAGGAGGAAATGACGACATTGATCTGTCCTTCAGCACACTCATCCCAACCTTACCCACTACCCTCAGTTTTCCTTCCTTCTCTGACTATGTGAACAGTGTTGTGCAGTAGAATGGCTTCCCAACAGCCAGCACAGAAAGAAAGAAGATGAACCAGCAAGGGTCCTCCTGAGGGAGATGACCCATGGCACTTTTGCATATAGCACTGACAGAGCACACAGGGCTATCTACAGAAGTTAACAGAGAAAGGTTTTTTCTCCTTTTATTTTTCTTCTTCTTGTCCTTTTCTATATCTTCTGAATGGATATCAAACTGCAGAGAGCAGAAAGTGTTGCTGCATTAACTTGGCATGGAAGACTGCCCTCAGCTAGTTTGCTGAGATGTTTTCTGAAAGCAGAATGCAGTCCTGTCTCTTTCCCATTTTTGCTTCTCTTTCTTTCCCTGGTAATGCCTGACGTTTCTTTCCATCTCATCACAGAATCATAGAATCACAGAATCCTAAGGGTTGGAAGGGACCTCAAAAGGTCACCCAGTCCAACCCTCCTGCAAGAGCAGGGTAACCTAGAGTACATCACACAGGAACTTGTCCAGGCGGGCCTTGAATATCTCCAACGTAGGAGACTCCACAACCCCCCTGGGCAACCTGTTCCAGTGCTCTGTCACTCTCACAGTAAAGAAATTTTTCCTGATGTTCACATGGAACCTCCTATGCTCCAGTTTACACCCATTGCCCCTTGTCCTATCACTGGACATCACTGAAAAAAACCTAGCTCCATCATCCTGACACTCACCCTTTACATATTTGTAAACATTGATGAGGTCACCCCTCAGCCTCCTCTTCTCCAAGCTAAAGAGACCCAGCTCCCTCAGCCTCTCCTCATAACAGAGATGTTCCATTCCCTTAATCATCGTTGTAGCTCTGCGCTGGACTCTATCAAGCAATTCCCTGTCCTCCTTGAACTGAGGGGCCCAGAACTGGACACAATATTCCAGATGCGGCCTCACCAAGGCAGAGTAGAGGGGTAGGAGAACCTCTCTTGACCTACTACCCACACCCTTTCTGATGCACCCTCGGATGCCATTGGCCTTCTTAGCCACAAGGGCACATTGTTGGCTCATGGTCATCCTCCTGTCCACCAGGACCCCCAGGTCCCTTTCCCCTTCACTACTGTCCAGCAGGTCAGCCCCCAACCTGTACTGGTACATGCGGTTGTTCTTCCCCAGATGCAAGACTCTACACTTGCCCTTGTTGAATTTCATCAAGTTTCTCCCCACCCAACTCTCCAGCCTGTCCAGGTCTCGCTGAATGGCAACACAGCCCTCTGGTGTGTCAGCCACTCCTCCCAGTTTAGTATCATCAGCGAACTTGCTGAGGGTACACTCAGTTCCCTCATCTAAATCGTTGATGAAAATATTAAACAGCACTGGTCCCAGAACCGACCCCTGAGGGACTCCACTAGTCACAGACCTCCAGCTAGATTCTGCCCCATTGACCACAACTCTCTGCCTTCTTCCTTCTAACCAGTTCTTGATCCACCTCACTACCTGATCATCAAGCCCACACTTCCTTAGCTTATCTATGAGGATGCTGTGGGAGACAGTATCAAATGCCTTACTGAAATCAAGAAAAAACACATCTTCCGCTCTACCATCATCCAGCCACCTAGTTACTTGCTCATAGAAGGCTATAAGGTTGGTCAAACATGACTTCCCCTTGGTAAAGCCATGTTGGCTGCTCTTAATGACCCCCTCATCCTTGATATGTCTGATGATGCCATCCGTAGACATAGTGCTTGCCAGCAGCAGAAAGGAAAACAACTTCTCTTTCTACCTGGGCTGGTATCTGAGCAGGTGGGACAAAACCAACAGGGCATAGCTCCACTTACTCCATAACAAGATTCCCACCGGGGAATTTCTAAGGCTTGAAGAGCAAGATTGAGGGAGTGGGGAGAACTGGCTGTGCTTTCCTCTGCAAAAAGAGGCAATATGCAGGGGAATGAGGTATATTCATAGGATGTCTTTCCAATATGGCTCTTCTGATGTTTTCCCAGCTGAAAATAGCATCTCAAAGACTGGGCATCACAGGGTTTCTTGAGGAAAACCAGAAGCTAGCTCAAGTTTGAACCACCACAGTTTTATTTGTTTTTTTTTTCTGCAGTCAGACCATGTTTTCAGTATAAGTATCCTCAGAAGTGAATGTCACTGTAGCTCCTTTCCTATCCTCAGACTTGAGTTCCTTTCCAAAGGAAAAGTTAATGTGTCAAGGAGTGGTAAGCATCTAAGTCTTGCTCTAACAGGCAGTTGGGATGTGGCCAGGGTGTCCCCCTGTAAACAAGGACTGCAGATGTTACCATGAAGTATGCTAATCTGATAAACTTTTTGTCCTTTCCAGCCAACCTCATGGCTCAATGCAGGGATTGCCCTTCTGAAGCTTTCTGAAAGCACTATACCTGACATACAGTCTTGTATCGTCTTGCTGTGACACATGCTGCATCTTGAACCCAGACAAACTTGAGACTTAATGCTTGTTTCTTATAAGCTGAAGAAAGGCACATCTGTCAGATAAATCCATATTGAAGAATACAGTAAGAGGAAAGTTCTTGCTTTATTCTACATCTGTGCAAACATGTACTGTGTGTGGAGTCCATCCCTGCCTAAAACCTGAGTGCTGCTATTGGGATGGACTTTGCTCAGACACACAACTGAAACTCTTACCCAGAGTTTCACCACCTATCCTTCAACAGTGGACACACAAATAAGGGACATGCATTTACTGTATTGTACAACTAATGTAAAAGAATGGGTTCATACTCTGTGTGTGTGTGCGTGTGTCTGCATACAGGAACAAACAGGAACTGGAGGAACTTTCCTTCAGTGATTCTGCAGACAAACCCAATATCATCTCCCAAGATCCCTCTTTTGTCAGGACATCTCAGGAACAACTGTGTTCCAAATATGGGACACGGAGACTGTTTCTAGCTAGTTACATTTTCTTGCAAACCAGTCTTAAGGTGTGAGCTTTGCTCTGCTCTCCCAGGAGCTAGAACTGCAGCTGCCTCTAAGATTTTCTGTAATACATTAATCACTGTGTCTTATCTAACCCTTCTTCTTCCTCAAAACCCTGATGCTGTGGTTTCCATAAATGAGCTGGGGGAAACTGAAAAGAGAAGTCCATTGCAATGTTTTTGTTTGCTGCTATGTTGGACAGGACAACAAAGTTTGCTCCGTTGTGAAAAGATCCCAGCAACTTTAGAAAATAGGAGGCCAAGACCTTGTAAAAGCCGAGCTTTTGGTCCCGTGGCTAAAACAGAAACCTGGCAAATCACTTCTTATGAAGATGACACAAATTTGTGCTCAGATTTTAGATGAATTTAAAAAATAATAGATCATAACTGTTTTTTCAGGTTGTATTTTTAGTCACAAACTGGAAACTCCCAGCTCTTCAAGAAGCATGGATATCATTGATGAAAAGGAAGAATATACAGACAGAGGTGTGGGGAATTTGAGGGAAGCAGAGCAAGCTCAAGACTTCTGTGTGTTTGATTTACAGTGATGCCTCTTACAGGGGTCTTCTACCTTTTTCTCACGTTATAAATCCCTCCTGGGGAAACTCTGGCTTTTATCCTTCATGTGATATTTGATTGCTTTCTCTCCCTTTCATTGTCAAGCTTACTCCTGCCACATATCTCAGTAGGATCTCCAAAATCCATCTCCTTTCTGCTACAAGCTGAGCAAAAAGTTGTTGGCACTGACTACTGCACAGCCTGCTCTGTTGCTTCCCTGATTCTCCACAAGTGTTCAGAGCCTTTCTCACATGCTCTGCAGATGAACACTGGATTTTTCCTGCTCCTGGCCACTCCAGCACACTCACAGTAATATTCTCACCTGGAGGTATCAAACACACTGAAAAGTTAGAACCCTCATGCAGGGAGAAGGCTAGGTTGGTAGAGTGATGGGACTTGTCAGAAGACAGCCTCGTGCATTGAATGGATTTAACATTTACTGCTGTGGGGTTTTTAACTTATCAATGCAGAACCTGCTGAAGGAAGAAGGAAACATTAAAGGTGAACCATGAATAACTGATCCCTTCAGGGGTGGGCCAAGCATGCTCCACTGCATGCTCTTCTTTAAAATTCTGCTCCAGTGACTCTTAGGGCCAGTATCCTTCCATGGAACAGAGAGGGCCTTTTCCACATCATTGACTGGACAGGAGTCAAGGAAAATGCTGGAGGATCAGGGCACTCATCTGTGAAGGAGGACTGCGAAAAGGGTCACAGTAGGTCCTTGACATCAGCCTGAGCATTTTCATCCAGGACTGATCTCCATCTTGGAAAGAGACGCAGGGGCACAGGAGGGGAACTGATGTCCATCAGATCTGAGATTCTGTAGCAGGCTTGCTCACCCTGCATGGCAAGATGAAGCATTTGTGTGAGCTCAGGCCAGCTTTTCATCAGGTATCGTGGGAGCTGCCCTTTCTCAAAGGTGCTCCTTCAGCTCCTTCAACCAAAGTGGAGTTTCCTTCCTCAGACAGATTTGACTGGCAGTTCACAAATTCGATAGCAGCTTGTGAAGCACAGGACGTTATTCCAGTTACTGTAAGTGTTGGGGTCTCTGTTTCCCTTGACGTGAATTGCAGCACATTTTTCTGCAAAGAGTAAATTGGGTTCCCCGGGTTTCCAGAACCTGTAAAAGAAAGTTCCTCTATTGGGAATGTATTTGCATGCATGACAGCAGGGGTGAGGTCACCTCAAACAGTTGCGGAAGAGAAAGGGGAAGTTTACTGTAAGAGAGATCAGGAGTCATAGTTTTGACTGGAAAAGTAGTTGAGTTTTCTGACTTACAATGCAGTTGGAGACAGAAATCCCCCTCTGGCACATACCTGCCTTACACAGTGTATTGGTCACTTAGACTGAGGGTTGTGAATTACATACAGGAACCTTCCTCACTCCCCCAGGATACTCACGTGGTTGTCATATCGTATGGAGTCTGATCCACCCACTGCCATTGCCCGGGTTTGTAAGCAGTTAAGCCTATGTAGTATTTTGTTTCATAGGTGTTAGAAAATACTCCTTTCACCAAGTTGAAGAGGAAATCCTGGAAATGAGGGAGAGTGCAATGTCCATGAGATACAGGACTGAGCAGAGGGAGGTGGCAGGAGTCCCTGTGGAGTGGGGCTGGTGGCAGAAGGGGGCTGGTGGCCGAAGGGAGCTGGTGCTGAAGGGATGCACAGAGGACATCCATGCCCCCTCCCTTGCAGGACAAAGAGGGACTGAGTCCCCTCCCATGCTGACATTGCGGCTCTGGCTGCTGTGCCCCCCTCTCAGCCCTGCACATACCTGCTCTGCTTCGCTGTTGATCACCACCAGGTGAGAGCCCATCCCAGTGCAGTTCTGCTCGCTATCAGCCCAGGACATCATATCACCTGAGAGGTAGTAGCAGCTTCCTTCGAAGTGTTTCCAGCCCTTCGGGCAGCATGCCCAGCTCTCCTCTGTGGGGAGAAAATCCTGCTTTCAAACAGGACCTTTCAAACCAAGTCCTTCAGCTCCATGAGCTCAATGAAGGGTCCCAGATGCTGGGGGAGGCATTTGAACCACACCTTTAGTCTGGACAGAGGGTAAATGCTCTCTTCCATGCTCCACATGTAAAGTTATAAACAGCCTGAGAGGTTTCTGTCTCAAGTCCCCTGCCTGAAGTGTCTTTCCCTTTCTCTATCTGTTCTGCAGTGTCCATGCAACCCCTGATTGGTGAGAGACACAGTTTCTGCCTTAGCATTCTTGAGGAAGCAAGATGGGAAGTAGTTGGCTCATGTTCCTCTAGGAACACTTCCATCAGAGAAGTGTTGTCCAAGTGTTTAGCTCTCAACTCATGCAGACTGACAGACATGTACAATGAACTGCTCTGACAGCCTTGCCACCCCAGACAGTTCCTTAGACTAGCCAGGCTTTCCTAGAGATCTGCCTCATTTCCAGAAAGCTACATCATGGATCAGAAATACACAGATATATTCTCTCAAATCATGAGGCTACATGAGAACAGATCCCAAACTGAGTTGGGGAATTCGCACTGCAAGAATTCAAGCACTTGCCATTGCTGTCATTTCATGTGTGGTTGCAGCCCAGCTCTCCATTACTCTAACTTCATAGAATCACAGAGTCATAGAATAGTTAGGGTTGGAAAGGACCTTAACATCATCTAGTTCCAACCCTAACTATTCCAACCCTAACTTGCATAACAACATCCTCTTACCACTCTGTCCCTCACACTGAACATGATGCTTGTGTGAACAGGCAGTGAGCCAGCACAAGGAGAGGAGCTGGATTGAATCAGCCCTTACAAAGGGATGGAGCACTTCCAGCTAGATCAGTGAACTGGAATAGCAGTTGAGGACTTGTGTGAGGGCCAGTGAGAGGAGAAGAGTAGGAAGAGTAGCCAGAAGTAGGTCTGGAAGAAGCCACACTCCTCCACTGGTCCAGAATAGGTTTCTATAGCATCCTAAGAAAACCGGCAATACAGCATTCTCGTCCCTCAGTTCTCAAGCTTCCTTCTTTAAAACAGTCCAGCTCTGCCTGACAATCACATTCCCAAACTCAAAGGCTAACTGAAACCAGAGTAAATTTTGGTGAGTTTCTTAGAGTTGCTTAGGAAGCTCTTAGCATCACTCACCTATGCCTCCAGATACGCTGGGGATGCAGCGCCACTCTGTAGCATTCTGGACCAGAGTCATGTACTGGCCATAGTCTCCATGAAGGAAAACAACTGGGAAGAGAAGAAAGAGAAAGAAAGTGATACTGTCATCTTTTTGTCCTCATCCATAAGCAACCTGTCCTATCCTCCATCTTCTGGCTGTACCACGGAGACTCCGTGTTAACAGCCTCAGAAATGGGTATTGAGTGAGATGAGAAAAGCGGATAAGAAAGGAGATGAGAAACAGCGGGCTGTTTCTCCCTCTAGTGGTCACTCCTTCCTTTGAGCGGGCATCGACTGGATGAGCTCCTCTCGGCTCTGCTGGCTGAGAGACTCATTTTCCCAGCTGACAAAATCAGCTTAGACATCCTTTGAGGATGAGGCCATGAAAGGGTCAAAGAAGTCATGGGATAAACTTAATAATGGTGGAATATTAATACAAATTCCCTGGTAAATCTTCCCAAGCACTGCAGCGTTAGAGCTTTTACCCTCATCAAGAAGGCCTTAACGCTGTTGAGCGTTAACGCTTCACCTAAGGGGGTTAAGAAAAACCACAGAAGAGTCATCACGGAGCAGAGTGAAACTCCAGGACAGTGCAAGCAAAGGAGTTCCCTTTCGGTCAGTCAGGCAGTGTGGCTGGAGCATTTGGATGGATTCACCCCCACCCTGCTAAATTATGGGCAGCCTGGTACCAGTATTTCCCAGAACATCACACTGGCTCCTTGGTTTCAATATTGTCACATGGAGCTCTGAGAGAGAGAACAGCTCAGGAGAGCCAGCATCCAAGAGCTGGCCCTCAGGGAACCTGCTCAGTTACTGCCTGACACTAAAGAGACTTCTCAGCTCTTGGTGGGAGCTGGTTTTGTCCAGGACTGGCTTTATTAAGGCAGGAGGCAAAGTGAGAGGAGCAGTGGGAAGGCCCTGCCAGGGAATAAACCTGAACTGTTGAAGGGACCCTGCTCCCTGAGTAAGAGGACAGAGGTGGGAGTGGGGCAGCAGAACAGGCTGCTTTGGCAAAGGGCATAAATGCCTGCAGGCAGAAAGGCTAGGGTATTGGTTTTCCACCTGACAAAAGGCAGTCAACTGCCTCCTTCATCCCAGGGGAATTAGCAGGGCCTGGAACCCACCAAGGCAGATGGTTACAATGGCGGTTTTGATGGCAAGGCCAGACGCAATGAAGACCCAGGGGTTCAGCAGGGAGCAGCGTCTCTCTTCTGATGAGGCTGAAAAACACAAGGCGTGAGTGGGAATCCCCCAGCCCAGAGTCGGGGGCAAGATAACCCAGTTGGCTCCATATCCCAACCTGCTGCTATCCTTGTTCCAACGCTGGGGAGCCCACAGATGCTGTAACCAGGTCCTGTTGCCCATCATTAGCAGTGGGTCAGACCCACAGAGTAGGGCAACACAGGGGCTGCCCTGAAGCTGCTCTTTCATTTCCCTGTTTATCACCAGTCCCACCTGTACTCTTCCCAAACTGCACTCCTCTTTTCTTGTGTCCTGTCACATTTCCTTTTTCTTCAACACATCTTCCTTGTTGCCCTCATTACTTCTCTCTTGCACTGGATGATCTTTCTGTTCCTCCCTCTTCTTCATCTCTCTTTAGAGCTTCTCAGCCAGCTTTATTTTGACTCTATCCCCAAGGCCTTTTACATAATAGTATATATTCACTCAAAGGAATGACTGTCCAGCTCAGTGTTTGCAGAGGCAGACACACAGAAGAGATTGTTTCCACAGGGAAAACAGCCACTTTGAAGCTCCAGGGAAAGCCCTCACTTGGCTCTTAGAGACACCAGAGATTGCAGCAGTGACTTGTACCTACCTTGATGCAGACAGTTCTACCTGGATAATGATAATACGATAGCACTCTTCAGTCCCATCATTTACAGAAAAAAGCACTGAAGAGGATGGCAGACCATAGTCTGCCTGGACTTTCATTCCCCCTGGCTCTGGGAAAAAGGTCACTGCTCCCAGCCTGGGCCCTCCCCAGTTCCCTCATCTGTTGCTTTGAGGCCAGCCACTGTACCATGCCCATTATCTATCCCAGCTCTTTGTCTCTCACCTCCTCCATCCACAGGAGGACAGAAAGGAAGGCTTTGTGGTTACCTGCAGTTCCAGGACTGACTCTTCCGTTGTGATTCATTATCTCTACCATGGTATCACTCTTCCTCAAGAGTCCACATTAGCAATGTGGCCACAAATACGGCCTTCCTCCTGCACAGAAGACTGCATTAGGGTAGTCCACACACTGGTGAAGAGCTTTCACAGCCTCTAATCCGGTACGCATAAAAAGCTGTAGCCTGGGTGTTCCCCACAGCACATGGAGATGGGGGAATTGTCATAGTTTCTCTGCCAGGATGTTTCACAAGATGTTCCTTGCAACACAGAAGCTTACAGAGGGAAATGAAAACAGATGAAGGGTAGTACCAACCCAGCTCAAACGACCGCCTTTTGCACATATTGAAGCCATTTCACAGGACATGCTACTGGCCTTACACCTTTGTTATTTGTTCTTTCCTGGCAAGTGAATATGTGTGTGAAAAGGCCTGTGCTGTTGGCATTCAGTAGCAAGGGGCTAAACCAACTCACAATGTCCTGCAAAAGGGAGTCAAAACATGGTAAGAAAACATATCTGTGACTCAGTCTGGGCAAGTCCCTATGTGAAGCCTGAGCCCAGTAACCCAGAGCACAACGAAGAACTTGACAACACTGTTGTTAACTAATTGCTCGGGAAAAGAGGATGGGGCTTTGAGTGGAGGCATTGCATATGACCTGTCACCATGGAGCTGGAGGTCAGAAAGGATCAGCAGGTGGTGTTAGAATCCCTGTGCATTACAGAGCTCAAAGTTTTACTTGGTCACAATAACAAAAGGCATAGCCATAGCTAGCGGTTCTAGCACGGCTCAAGGCAACTTGATTCAAAACCTTGCAGGTTTTGTCCCTAAGAAATAAATACCTGTAAGGATAAAGAATCCCTACTGGGTCTCGTACTCTGAATGGACACAGGTAGGTAGACAGCCTTTGCTTTTCCATGCTCCATCATCACTTTCTCCCTATGAAAAGGCATGAATGGATGTACTGAGGAAGGAATGGATGCAATAGCACAAGTGTATCAGTTGAAGTCTCAAAAGAGCAGGACACAAAACCAGCTACAAATGAGAACAACCCTAAATTGTGTGTAGAAGATATCCTCTGAGTATGTTTTTTCATGCACAGCAGGCTGCAAGCAGGGTCAAACCATCCAACATCTATGTTACATTGGAAAGATGGCCCATACATGTGCTTGCTGGTACTGTCATAGAAACTATAAGCTACTAGAAGGCACAAGGTACTGGATTCACAGCGCAGCGAGATCCTCACATGACATATTTAAAAGTTCCCAGCTATCATGCTGGAGAACAGCACTGAAATGCACCACAGATGTTAAAAAATGAGAATGCATTTTATTTGCCATTGCTTTAAAATACACTTGATTTTGTGCATACAGGCAGGGAGCTGACTTTGGCTGATCAGTATGTCAAGTGAAGAGGGTATAAAACTGTCAGAAGGAAAATGTGCTTAGTTCATGTGGTTTAAATCTAGTCAGGATGGATCTAAGCAGTTTACCAATCAATTCATCACATGTAATTAACCGGCAAACCATAACCTGTATATTCAGGATCAGCATCAGCAACCGAGATAAAGCACAACAGCAGACACAAAATGTCAACAGATAGATACAAATTTGTAAACGTCTTTAAGTAACTGATCCCCAAAAGCTCTAAACCCCACATACACACACATTCTCATGATTACTTGTGCAACTTCCCATGTTCCTCTTTTCTAAGAGCAGTGATTTCCCTATTCTTACGCGCTTCCTACTGGAGGTGTAGGGTACATGTGTATCCATGCCACTTCCTACAGTCTGCTTACCCACAGGCCAGTGAGAAACCACAAGGTCACATATGAATACTGAACTTGTGGGTCTGTATATGTTCCACCCTTACTGCCAGGAATGCAGGCTGCCCACTGTATTCAACAGGGAGGATGCTCTGCCATAGACAGGCTGCAGGGTGACTGTCAAACCAGATGTTGACTGTCACTTCCTTCCTGCTTCTCTTTGTTAAAAATGTTCTTGATTCTTCTAAACTTTGGCTCTGGACCAATTATTGTCTTTCTTAAAAGACTTTTCCTAATTCCATGGCAAATGAATTCGGGGCAAATGCCCTCTCAGATAGTTTCTGGTATTCAATTCACACACTTGTTTACACTGACATTCCTATTTTAGCAGTCACTGCTCTCCAGCCCATTTGACAAAGATGAAGGTCTGTGCAATGAATTCACATGAATTCACGTTGGTGTTTGCACAGGGTCTAAAGCAGAGAGAAAGCAAATGACTTTCTTTTCAGCATCACAAACCAAGCTACTGCATCCAGGAAATCAACAGCTGAGCTCACAATGCTCAGATGACAAATAGCTCTGTCCCACTCAGGGATAGAGTCACAAAGTGGTGGAAATAGCAAAACTCTGCACTGAACTGCACAGAACCTCCTTAGTAGCCCTGGTGCCAGGCAGCTAGGACCAGTGATGGGAAATGTTATCTTCTCAGTGGGAAGCTCCAGAATCATTGCAAGTACCTTTCATTTCCAAAATGGCAGGAACCTATTTCTCTTTCCTGCTCCATAAACACTAGCAGCATGCTTGAGGAGAGCATGTATCAGTGACCTCAGTATTCCTGTGGGTCTTTCCACAGTTCTGTAAGTAAAGATTCTCAGCCGTTTTCTATCTGCTCCAGTCATGAAGAGAGTCATGAGTGACCCTTGGTTATTTCACTTCACAAATATATGTGTCAGATCAGCGTGCTGTGGCAACAGGATGGTACCTTGCAGTACAGAACTGTCAGGGATTCCTGCCCCTGAACCACTGAAGACAGTGGTACTTGGTTATAACAAGTGCAGTCCTAGAAGAGGCACTGGAGACTCTTCAATCTACTTTCACACCCCCTTGCAATATAGACCTAAGTTAACAAGCACAGCATAGATACAGAGATCAATGGAACATGAACTAGGGGAAATACATCAGGCACCATTCCTGGGTGGATAAAACACCACCTGGGGAGCACAGGGAACAGAGTGCGTGAACAGAGCGTGGTGTGGCAGCTTTTGCAGCAGTTTATATGGGTAGCAAGCTTCAGCGGTGAGCTCAGCCAGTGGTCATAGAGAAGGTGCTCAAGGATGGCATCCTCTCGGCAGAAGGCAAAGAAGGCGAAGTTCTCTCAGAAAGGATTTGGCAACCCAGACAGGGGTCCCTTATAAACATGTAGCTGTCCAGGCGTCTGGCTGTTGTGAGTGCCAGAGCCTGTTGGTGATGTTAGATGGTGGCTGTCTAAGATGTGACCAGGTTGAGGCTTTGCTCTGCATGGTGGCAGAGCTATCGGAGAGGTGGAATGACCAAGGGAATCTGAGGAGGAGATTGACTGGTGGAGCCGTACTTGAGAGAAGCAAGCCAGCCACACGAGCCAAAAGTAATTAAGGATCCCTTACCATCTTGTCACCAGGGACCTAAGAGACAGGGGAGCTTGGAAGCAGATTACTCCTTAGAGTACATGGCATATTTATTACCCCCCAGCTTGTCACCTTCCCAAGTACCCCTCCACAACAGATTTGAGGCCCTGGTACTTGAGGATCAGGAAGACGAGGAATATGACAAAGTAGATAAGGGATCATCCAAGTGAGAAGAGTCGCCATGGGTGAGTCAGACCTTTTGTCATGACCAAATGTGTCAGGGACAATAGACAGTGGTCCGTGGTGAAACACACAAAGATAGAACAGTAATGTTTGTCCGCTTTGGCTCCTCCCTGGAGAGTCCTGCTTTGGCTGCTCCCCAGAAAAGTCCCAACCCTTGGAGACCTTTCTAGGTATTGCTGGCCACTTCTTCCGACGTAGGCTGGCCCCCTGTGTCAGAATGAGTGGGCATTTTTGTCAGTATAAAAGCCCAAGCCTCATGCAATGCAGGGAGGCAGACCTTAAGACCAGGCAGGTCAATGTTGCCTCCACAGGGACACCCGCTACGTTTGAGCCTGCCACCTTGAACTGCGATGACAATCCTCAGAGCTGGTTTTCTGATCATCATCATAGGGTCCTTGGGGTTGGTGAGATAACCAAACATCATGAGTATCTTTTACTATATCTGTTAGTATCTCTATATTTTCCCATATTAATAAACTGGTTGTGAGTTCTCTATTCGTGTCTCATCTCTCTCACCCGGAATCCTTAAACTCTGGAACACCAAATCTACTAGGAAAAAAGAGTGGTTGTGATTGGTGACTCAATCCTGAGAGGAACAGGGGGCTGGTATGTCAACCCAACCCGGCTTGACTCACAGGGAAGTCTGCTGCCTCCATGGGGCCAGGCTCAGTGATGTTACCAGAGAGCTCTGTCATCTGGTATGGATTAATAACTAACCTTTACAGTTGGAGAGGTCTGTATTGTATATGTGTAAACACATATTTTTTTCTGCTACCAGGCATTCATCCAGAATCAGGCTGCTCATGCTGTTTGTGTTTGTGTCAGTGCTTTCTGTCTGTGCTGACCTGTGTGGTTGCTTGTATGCGTGCTTCCTTTTTCTTCCATATGCATCTATATATGTACATATTGTACATACATGCTCAGTCTCACTACCATCTGGAGCTGGGGACACAGAGCTGCAGCAGCCTTGCCTCTGCTGGGCTATGAGATTCAGCAGCTCTTGCCACCACCCACAGCCATTCAGAGAACTACTCCCATTGATAAGCTTAGGAAGCCAAATCTCCTGATCACCTTGCCTCCATTACAGGTTCTCCCCTCTCTTTGGGAGCCAGAGAGAGGATTCAATTTCATAGGTATGACAGAGTCATACAGCCAGATGCCCACCAATGTTCTGTGAGGAGTTGGCACTGTTTGTCTGGGAAAGGTTAGGCAGATGATGTTTCCTAAGGCAAACAGAAGTGGAGTACAGGGCCCAGGAAGTGGTAATGGGTGGAGAAAAGGTGGGATTCATGGTGGCATATGGTCTGCAGTAGGACATTGTCCTGGGTTCAGCTGTAACAGTTATTTTTCTCCTACTTAGTAGCTGGTGCAGTGCTATGTTTTTGACTTTCAGCCTGGAAACAGCGCTGATAACACCGATGTTTTTAGCTGCTGCTCTGTAATGTTTACTCTGGCCAAGGACTTTCTGAGTCTCATGCTCTGCCAGGGAGCAGGGGAAGCCAGGAGGAAGCAGAGACAGGACACCTGACCCAAACTAACCAAAGAGGTATTCCACATCACAGCACATCATGCCCGCTGTATAAACTGGGGGCAGTTACCCGGAAGGGCTAGATCACTGCTAGGGTCTGGCTGGGTATTGGTTGGTGGGCGGTTGTATTCTCTTCCCTTGCTATTTCCCTTATCATTATTATTATTGGTGGTAGCAGCAGTGATTTGTGTTATACCTTAGTTACTGGACTGATCTTATCTCAACCCATAGGAGTTACATTCTTTCCATTCTCCTCCCCATCCCTCTGGGAGCAGTGGGAGGAAGGGGGCAGAGTGAGCGAGCGGCTGCGCGGTTCTGGGTTGCCGGCTGGGCTTAAATCATGACAGACATGAAGGCAATTCAATAGGCAACGCACCTGTGGAAGGGACCTTATGTGCAGCAGCCCTGCCCTTTCCTGCCCCTTTCCTGCCCCTTCTGCAGCATGGTTTGGCCTGGGCAGGTAGGTCCTTACAGGAACCACTGGGCTTTAGCTTCCCAGGAAGGCTGCTGCATCAGGTAAGCTTGGGATCAGCTCCAAGTTGGGAAGAAAGACTTCTTCCTCGAGGTGACACTGAAGGCCCTGGTCATTTTGCTGCTGGGGACAGCTCCTCACACTTGGTTGGAGAATGGCCTGACCTCGGTGAGACTCCTGGCACAAGCTCCTGTTACTTTCTGGAGCAAGACTTTCCACCATGGAAACAAATCATAGAATCATATAATGGTTTAGGTTGGAAGGGACCTTAAAGTTCAACCCCAATACTCATAATACCCCTAGAACTGGTTTTCTGTAGCCAGTCCCCTCCACAGCTTTGGCTGTTTGCAATGGAACTGTGTAGCCAGGTTCTCTCTGAGGGATTTACTGTCATTGGGTGGGTGCAACTTCTGCTGCAGTAGTTGCATAAGGCTGTACCCTGTCACAGCAACATCTTTTGATTCTGGTCCTGCCCAAACAAAACCCCTACATACTGTGGGAGGAGATAAGGTCCCCATAGTGCTTATAAGGAAGTGGCTGGGGAAGGCAGTGAGGATTGCTCCTCCCATGGGAGTACATCTAGAGGAGGGTCACAAAGACGGTCAGAGGGTTGGAGCACCTCTCCTGTGAAGAGGGGCTGAGAGAGTTGGAGTTCTGCCTGGAGAAGAGAAGGCTCCATGAAGACCCTGTAGCACCCTTCCAGTAGCTAAAGGGGCCTACAAGAAATCTGGAGGGGGACTTTTTACAGGGCATGTGGGGACAGGACAAGGAGGATTGGCTTTATGCTGAAAAAGGTGGGATTTAGATCAGATGTTAGGCAGAAATTCTTCCCCGTGAGGGTGGTGAGGCACTGGCAGGGGTTGCCCAGAGAAGCTGTGGCTGCCTCATCTCTGGCAGTGCTCAAGGCCAGGCTGGACAGGGCTTGGAGCAACCTGGTCTAGTGGAAGGTGTCCCTGCCTGTGGAAGGGGGCTAGAACTGGGTGAGATATAAGATCCCTTCCAACCCAAACCATCCTGTGATTCTATGATTACACAAAACACCTGCAGCTTAGTGAGGGAAAGAGAGAGATACACACTGCACAGAGCCTTTTTCATTGGTCTGATACTGTATTTTCTCTTGCATAAGAATTCAGTAATTGTTCAGCAAAACCAGTGCAACTGGAGGTCATTCTCTGTGTGACTCAACAAAAAGCAGGTGCCTCTGCCCAAGGAGACAAAGGAAATTGCAGCTCTGAACATCTGTCTTACACTCCTGTGTCTTCTTCCTGGAGAACTCAATCTCTTTTCAGCCAGTGGTTGCTGGACCCACCCAGAGAGAAGAGGACATAAGAGCCCAGGACCTGCTCTGACGACCCTGAGCCTTCATGTATTCCCTGAGCTATTATATGCATTGGGGATGCTGGACACAGGGTAATATCACTTCCACTCACATCATCCCACCCAACACAGTGAAGATGAAGGCTCCAGAGTTCCCCACCCCTCCCAACACAGCCCTGTTACCAGCTCATTGCTCATCTCCCAGTTTTACTCAGGATCAGGGTATCTCCATCACACAATTATTGCTGCAGCTTCACAAATTCTATTATGATCGTTACATTGGACATCATTCCAGTTGTTGAGTGCTCTTGAAGTCCGATGGATTACAACGCACTTCTCATAATCTGGATTACTTGGTTCGCCTTCACGCCAGAACCTGAGACAGAGACAGACATGTTACTCCCCAGCATACCCTGTAGAGCGCCGCTGGAAAAGGCCACAGTGGGATGCAAGGCTTGGAGGGGAGAGAGAAAAATTCCAGGTGCTGATTCATGGGCAGAAGCAGTGCTCTTCCTCCCACTCAGATATCCCGCTGGCATCAGTCTCATGTGGAAACTTGCCTTCTTCCTGCAGCAAACACAACAGGCCCTGCCAGTCCTGATAGGGGAAGCTGTTCATCACTTCTTCACACCCAGAAGAGGCGTGTTTCTGCCTCCCTGGCAAGTTTGTCCTTCAGAAGAAGACACAGCAAGGACAGCTCAGCTGATCTCTCCATGTGCCCCATCATTTCCACAGCACCAGAGCACTGGCATGCTTATGTATATATATGCGCATAGGCATGGTGGGAGCACTATGGAGGTCAGGCAAGGCGGGTCATCTCTGAAGGGTTCTTCCTACTAGTAAGATGCAGCTTCTTTTGTACCTATAGCATTGACAACCACATCACAGAGAGTTAATTAATAGCCAATAACCAGCTTTGATAGGGCCATGTGAACCTAATGTCCTACACAGCCCTCTCTTGCTCCTCATGGACCTCTCATCAGGAGATGTACCAGCTCTCATGTACCAACTCTCATGTACGAACAGACACCCTCACATCTCTTCTACTTTCTCGCACTACAGAAGCCACACCAAACAGTCTCCCATCTGGGAATACTCACGCTGCTGTCACATTAAATGGAGTCTGGTCCACCCAGTGCCACTGGCCCATCTGTGCACTCAGACCAATGTAGTGATTCTCTCTTCTTGAAGGCTTTTTAACCTCCTTAGAGAGGAAATCCTGGAAATGAGGGAGAGTGCAATGTCCATGAGATACAGGACTGAGCAGAGGGAGGTGGCAAGAGTCCCTGTGAAGTGGGGCTGGTGGCAGAAGGGAGCTGGTGTACAGAGGACATCCATTCTCCCTCCCTTGCTGACATTGCGACTCTGGCTGCTGTGCCCCCCTCTCAGCCCTGCACATACCTGCTCTGCTTCGCTGTTGATCACCACCAGGTGAGAGCCCATCCCAGTGCAGTTCTGCTCGCTATCAGCCCAGGACATCATATCACCTGAGAGGTAGTAGCAGCTTCCTTCAAAGCGTTTCCAGCCCTTCGGGCAGCATGCCCAGCTCTTCTCTGTGGGGGGAGAAACCACAGAGGTGAATGCTAAGAACAAAAGAGATGGCAATTACAAGGATCTCTGTTCTCCAGTGACAGTCATAGAATCCCAGATTGGTTTGGGTTGGAAGGGACCTTAAAGCTCATCCAGTTGCAACCCCCTGCCTCAGGCAGGGACACCTTCCACTAGACCAGGTTGCTCCAAGCCCCATCCAACCTGGCCTTGAACACTGCCCGGGCAACTTCTCTGGGTAACCTGTTCCATCATCACCCCACCCTCACAATGAAGAATTTCTTCTTAATATCTAAAATCTCCCTTTTCAACTTAAACCCATTCCCCCTTGTTCTGACACTACAATCCTTTGCAAAAAGTTCTCTCCAGATTTCTTGTAGGCCACTTTTAAGTACTGGAAGGCTGCTCATGTTCTCCTTAAATCACTTATCCTGATAGAAAGTGCTTGAAAAAGCAAGGGTAGTACAGATATTTCTTGCCATTGCTTTGAGACGTGACCAGTAAGCTTTGTGTACACAAATGCATAGTAATCCAGGCTTGACAAAGTCACTTTTACTGATCTGGTTTGCCTTCTCCTTTTACATTAGGCCTTTAGACACAGGGAACAGGGGATATCGCTTCTTTCCCTGACTAGAGCTGCACTTTTATTATTGCTCCATTGTTAACCTTTCCTGTGCCGCCATACTCTGTCCCTTTTGTTGTGGCAGTGTTCACAGCCACACTGTCCTCCAGGCCATCATTAACATGTCCCTCTACTTTCCATAAGCTGTTAGCAGGAAATCCTTTTTCTCCCCACCTCTCTCCACAGGAGTCTGCCTCTGCGAAGTCTGCTCCCACTGCCACTTGCTGTCAGAGCAGACCCCAGCATTGACTGTTCCTCTGCCAGCGCTACTGACCTTTGCCTCCTGGTGCTGCTGAATCACACGACCACTCCTTGAATTTCTGCTTAAAGGCTGGGGTCTTATCACTGCTATGGGAGAAGGGAGCGACTGGAAAGGGAGAGGAAAGGCAGCAGGATTACTCCTTCGTCCCACCTCCTCATACAGCGTTTCTGGGCTTCACTGTTGTTTCTCCATTTCCCCACCAAGCACTGCCCCAGCATCACCGCTCCCTGGGCTGTCTCTTTCCACTTCACAAGTGGTAACTGCCATCCTCTCAGCAAAGGGAAAAGGCATTTCTGCTCTCAGCATCCCACAGCTTCCCACAAGGACTCCTCCCCACCACACTGACAAGGACTAGCTGGGATGACCTGGCCAACAAAGCTAGAGAAGCCTGAGACCCACTTGAACAGCACCTGGTGGCCATAGCTGTTTGTCAACAGTCTGTCCCAGCCCCGAGCAGCTGACATCAGGTCCCCCTGGGATGCTGTGGAGCTGAAAGAGTGGGGTTGGTGGATCCCTGGTCCACAGCTCTGAGAAAACCGGCCCAAACAAGTGGTATGGCTGCCTTCCCAGCCAGAAAGAGACAATCTTCCATGTCAGAGAGCAGAAGGACCACTGGAAGGACATCACACTAAGATGATGAACAGGGTGGAATTGATTCCATCCAACCACAGGCATTTATATAATAGACATATGTATTACTTATCACACCCTGATCAGTTTCCAGTCAATATCCCTGAATGTTCGAGTTGGTGGTAAGTCCTTTGGGTTGTTGATGTGGCCTGCTGACACCTATCACACTAACTTCCAGGACTCAGGAACTAATGACAGCAAAAGGAAGGGCAGCAATTTATCCTTACAACATGCCTCTTCCAGAATCCATCATCTTTACTGACCATTTGTACAAACATGCCATGAATGATCTTTCATAGAAAATGAGAATGAAACAGTGGTCGCAATCTCCACAGACTCTGTGTGCAAGTGTAACTTCATGAATTACTCCAGTATACTGTAAGACTCCTGGAGGTGCCAGGACTGTGAAAAGCCATTTTTTCCATTAGGGCATGAAGTGTGTGCAAGCCCCTTACAGAGCTCAAGTGCAGGTTCAGCTGCCTGTACACTTGTGCTGCCTTCTCCATTTCTTCCTCACCCCTGTCATTAATGCAATTAAGGTCTTTCTTTGTGGTGTGAAGGTAGAGAATTGTTCCACAGTTCCAAATAGGCTCTGCAAGATGGGGATGTGCAATCATAGAAAAAATGATGATTGATCCTCGATCTGGGAACACTGAAGAGGCCTCAGGGTAAACAGTGGAAGGTTTAGGAGATATATGCAGACAGAAGCAAAGTGAGACCTTACAGAAAGCCCAAAACCCTCTGAAATTCTGAAGATGGCCATGCTTTAACTAGTCTAGAGACCTCCAGAAGCTGCTTCCCACCTAACTCTGTCATTCTAAGAGGATGGGTATAACAGAACCATATGGCATAATGCTGTGGTAGTCCTTGCTCCTGCAAACCAAATATCTGGTTTGGCTGGTTTGTGTCATGTTGCAACTGCACCCTTAAATCCCCAATGTTTAAGTAGTCAGGAAAGGTTTTGCTCCTAAACATACCTTTCAAATATTCAACATGCACATTTTCTGAGTCCAAATGTTGGTTCTTGCATCCTTTCTCATGACAAAACAGTTCCCTAGTAAAAGCTGTCTCCCTCTTAGAAGATATTCCCCTCTGGACTCTGATTTCTTTGCTTTTCTCCAAGCACTTCCCCCTAGACCTCTCTCCCACAATCAGCCTACACATACTCACCAAGAACAGCAACAAGGGCAATGCACAGCAGGAGGAGCAGCAGTGAGATCAGCCAGGGGAGCCATAGGGGGCATTTCTGGGGATGGTGCTGTTGCTTCTTTGTTTCAGGAGGTACTAGAAGTGAAGGAACACACCAAACACAACACCACAGTCAACTGTGCCTCAGTCAGTCCATATAGCAAGGGTGTGTAACTCAAGGGGGAGCTACTCCAAAAATATGCTATTTCAGTTCTGATGTGGAAGTTACACAGCATGGGAGAGGGGCAGACTGGGACAGAGCAGGGGACCTCTGTGGTTTCTGGAGTTCACAGTGTTCACAGCCCCAGACCACCTAATGAGCTAGGGATGTTAACTGCTGGTGTTGGGGAAGAGGTCTTCACAAAGCCTCAAAATCTGGACTGAAACCATGTCTCTCTAGACTAAGCGGAAAGTTGCTGAATACAGCATTGCTCTGTCTATGATACTTGAGACGTTCACATGAAGATTTCATGCTTACTTCTCCCCAGAAAACTTTTTATGCCTGTTTCAGTTCCTTCGTAGCTTTTTGGACTTCCTGTGTAGAAGGTTGATGCAAGCCAAATGAGGACCGGAGATGAGAAATGTGCAAAGCTCTGATGCCACAGAATCACTGGAAGACTTAAAAAAACCAAAACACCCCACCACCCTCCCGCCCCTTCTATGCCTGCTTCCTGACCCATGGTTCACTGGTCTGCTGCAGTAAAACTAGGCTGTATGCCTGAGGAGAACAGAGGGCTGTGTCCAGCAGCCTCAGTAAAGTATCCTGCTCAGATTCAGACTTGCCAGGGCTTGACTTTTCTCTAGAGGGATACTGCTAGAACTGAAGACGTTTTGGGAGCAGGCAGGAGGTCAAAGGGAAGGAGAAGCAAATACTTGTTAGGAGACTGTTCTAGGTTGTGGCAGGTACACAAGCCAGGGAAAGCAGGAAGGTAAAGAAACAAGAGCACTCAGTGCAGGACAGGAGTAAATAACAATTAACAATAAGCTTTAGAGAGACCTCATTCATTGTTCATCATGAAACTCTTAAGTCTACCAGCGGCCATGTGTGCCTGCCACCCATGCCTAATAAGCAAGACTTCCAGAAACTTGCTGTTTGGGGAAGCCCTCTGACTGCTTCCCAAAGGCTTGGGGCAGATTGCTACAGCAGGGCAAAAAGCATCATCTTTCATTATCAGAAAACATTCAGAAACCTACAAGACCCAGATTTCCCTGGCCAAATCATATTTTTCTAGCCAGAGCTTTTGTCTGTAGGGAAAACAAGGACCCTGGTCATGATCTGGAGTCCAGCCACTTATTTCAGACAGTAGATCTGAGCAGTCCAAGTGATTTTTCAATGTGCTACATGTCTATAGATTGACTGTTCATTCTGTGCACCCCTCACTCACACCCAGGTGGCAGAGAGAACACTTCAGTGTGTATGCACCTCACCAACACAACTGAAGTGCAGTAGATCTTTGCATACTCAGTGGGCTAATCTCCTTCTAAAATGCTTCCTATAGTTAGTCTGCGTGCTTGCAATATGTCCAGCATGATCACAGCACAACAAACCTGATAAGTTTATGCTGATTATTCAGCATGTAACTCCAACATCTCCTAGGCACATGTAACCCAGTTGGAAATACAGGAGCCCTAACTGCACTGTGGTGTGAAACTCCACCCTGTACTCTCTGCCATATCCTGCCACAGATTATATGTTGATTAGCTGCTACCTTCTCCTCTCTATCTTCCAATGACTGACAATTTCGGTATATCTAGAGCCCAACTGGAAGAGGCTACAAAATGGGAAAACCCAGGTATGCTTGGCCATTACCAACACGGAGTCTGCGTGGCCAGAATAAGCACTCAGAAGGACTACAGAGCAGCAAGACTCCTCCAGTCTTTCAACAATTTTCAATCATAACTCTCATCTTATGAGCATACCACGAAGCTGTGTGAGAGATATTAGCACCGCATGCAGTGGTACTGCTGGTGGTTTCTTTGAATTCAAAGCTACACACCCAAATCTATAGCGTGAGCAGCATCAGCAGCTCAAGGAAACATGGCTCAATAAGGTTCTTTGAAATAGGTCATAGCTCAATTAAGAACTTCCACCATCCCCAGCTCACCATGATGGAAATGCCAGCTGTAACCAGAACCAGCTCATCTTGGTGCACTGAAAACAGTGAACTTTTAAGTCAGTCAGGAGTATGTACATTCTTTGTTTCCATGACTCATGCCTCAGAGCAGGCAGGAAATATCCTGGAGCTGATGCCTGCTCTGTTTGGAATTATAAACCTAAGACAAAGTGGTAAATAGGCACGCTAATATCCTTAGTGGCAATAAACAATTATTTATTCATTCATTCATTCATTTACACACACATACTTTAAGCCCTCTGGAACCTGCTATTGTGTGGGGTCTTGTATCTAAGGGTGGAAGAAATGAGCCACACATGGAACATCTCTATGGGTTCCTGTGTGTGGCATAATGATTACAGAATACATACTGATCAGAACATGATTTAAATTTGCACAAAGCCCAGAAAAGGCACCATTTTACAGCCAAGACTTTTAATAGCCATAAAAATTTGTTTGTTCAATGCACTAATTATTTTTCAGGAGTGGTAGACATCAAATCAGAGAACTGGATCTTTCCACAGATCTTAGATAATTCTTTCTCTCTATATTTTAGGGTGTTTTCTTTAAGCCCATTTTTCCTTGTAACTTCAGTTCTCTTTCTTCTCCAAGGACTCAGTTCTCAACCAAGAACAATGGATGATAGAAGTTTCTGCATTCAGTGCCACCTCTCACAAAGCTGCAGAGGACAACTGACTGCTCTACTATAAGAAGGCATGTTGGTTCTCTACTACTGCTCTTTTCATGGGAAGGAATCTGTAGCCTTACTCTCCCAGAGGAAAGAGCAGTAGCAGCCAGGGCTTGGGCTTATTTACTGTCATCTGCTGCCCCAGGAGCCACTCAACCCTTGTGGAAGATCAGATTGTTTGCAATAAATCACAGTCTCTATTGGTACTCAGCATTTGTCCAAAAATTATTCTCTCATTCAAGACTACATAACATACAAAATTCCTCCAGTCTCCTGCTCATGTAGTGGTAAGCAACTCATTTTTATCAACCATTTGTCAAGATCAGGTATGAAGCAGAGTCGTAGAAATCAGTCTCTGTTCCCTGTTTTTCCACCCCCTTCCCCTGAGTAACCCATCCTTACCTTTGATCACTGCAGCTGGTGATGTATTGTGGAACTTCACCTCAGCATAAGTGATTTCTGATGCCATTTAATCACAGCGCAATCACTGGCCCTGTCCTTAGTTTTGCCACATAAATCGTGGGTGTTTTAGGTGCCTGGTTCCAGAGGGAGACACCAATAAGTTACTGAGCCTTTCCCATCTGCTCCTCCACCTTCTGTCTGTCAAAGAAGGCTGTGCTGAACACTGGAAGTACTGGTGATAACCTAAGAATTCCTGGGAATTCAAAAACGCTTTGTTTCTTAGCCCAGGACATCAGATCTGACAGTATGGAAACTTCTGAGAGAGAAAAGAAAAATGAGAAACTAACAACTGAAAAGGAAGTCACATTCTTACTTCCCCATGTCAGATTCTCAGCTGATAGGTTTCCTTTTTCAGATCTCTTAGTTTGTTTTTCTTTTTCCATCCTTCCTTTTTTAACTCTCTCCCCTTATCTTCATGACTTTCTTAGTCTGTTAGTAATTCTACCATTGCTCTTAGGTTTGCAGCTATGCCAGATCTTAGCCCAGTTTAAGCTGTGGCACATCCATGTATAAAATGCATTCTGCCCTCACTTATCATTTGCGGTTAAGATGTGTTTGCTACATCAAATATTGCATACTATGTCCCGTCCTGGGAAGTCAGCCCCAGTTGGCAATAGAACAAATCACAAAAGAGGAACTGCCTCAAAAGTGAGACTGGAGGATTTCAGCCTTAAACACAGGAATAGAAATAATCAGAAGTTTGATATATTCAAGAAGAAACAGAGAAGAATGTGGCCAGAGCTGGGGAGAAGAACAACAAAAGTAGGAAAAAAAGAAGTAAAATGGTGTTGCTGGTTTGAGAGGTTGTTGGGAAGAGCACACGCAGATGCCTTTCTACCACAACCTGTGGAAATTCAGAGCAGTGTTTGCTTCAGGGAGTCAGGCTCCATTTCTGAGGCTGAAAAGGGATAGTTTATATTTTTTTCTCCAACATTGTCTTTTATCTCCCCTTTCTGCTTTCTGATAAAGGCCTCTGATATTACCTTGAGGAAAATGTCAGACTACTGCTTAGTCTGACTTCAAGCTGGGGCAAATGTTTAAAGGAGACATTTAAGGGAAATGGCTGCTGAGATGCACGCTGAATCAGAAAGGTGTCTGACAGAAAATGCCAGTGAGTCAGGACACCCTGGAGAAAAATGATTCAGTCAGCAGATAGGCCTCAGGAATGACAAAACAGCTTTGGTTAGAAGGGTTCTTGAAGCTCACTAAGTTCCAATGCCCTGCCTCAGGCAGGGACACCTTCCACTGGACCAGGTTGCTCCAAGCCCCGTCCAACCTGGCCTTGAACACTGCCAGGGATGGGGCAGCCACAGCTTCTCTGGGCAACCCCTGCCAGTGTCTCATCATCTTCATCATAAAGAACTTATTCGTTACAGGTAATCTAAATCTAGCTTCTTTCAGTTTAAAACCTATGCCCCTTGGCCTGTCACTACAGGTGGGGGTAAAAAAATCTCTATCTTTCTTATAAGCCCCCTCTAAGTATTGAAAAGCTATGGTAATATCTCCAAAACAACCAGAAGGAAGGGGGAGAAAGCTTTGCTTGGTTAGTTTGCCTAGATGAAATTTCTTCCTTCCTGACTTGAGATGCTTGCAGGACATCCAGGGAGCTAGCACAGAGGGTACACAGGGCTGAGCTGGAGATGAGATAGGACAGTACAAGGAAAAATATGCATCAGACAATAGAGGAGAACAATGCGGCAGAAGGTAAGGGGCAAGGAAGGGAAGTAATGCATGTCTGTCACATTATGCAGAATCTGCCCCTGAATGGAACAAGGCATATGTAGCTGGATTTCTTTAGCAAGGGGCCTCCTCATGCCTCATGTCACTGAGCTGGCTTCACTTCTCCTTTTTGCACTGTGTGCAAAGGCAGTAATTTTTACAGAACAGTTACAGAACAGAAGCCTGCTCCCTTGAGAAGATGCATGCTGCCTGCTTTTCTTTCCAGCATCCTTCCGGCACTTTCTTTTGTCTTCAGGCTTGGCCTTCTCACAGGAATTAAGCTTCCCAAAGTGTTTGCTGAAACCTAGTTATGCTTCAAACCGAGATTTCAGTCAGAGCAATCTCCTGTGTGCTTCCTGCCTGTTCTGGCCAACCAAACCACAACAGGGGAAAAGGCTTACTTCCCTGCAGGGTTTCAAGCTTTCCATCATGAAGAAATACAGGAAACACAATCAGCAGATAGAGAAGGAGTCACAGTGTATCTTCATGAGCTTTTTGCCACTGAAACATCTCCAAACACAGCTGAGGCATTTCAAATGCAAATTCAGGATCTAGCTGTTGATTTTATTAGAACACACTCGATTATGCTCAGACATCAGGAGACAGCTCAATTCTTTCATCTCAGCCATCAGACTTGCTGCTTGCTGTCAAAATTTGACCCTGAGTAATACCTCCATGGGATACAAATGCTGGGCCCTTGTGCAAGAACAGTGAGGTAATATTCCTAAGAGTAAAATTTGTGCTTTAAATTTCATACACACTGATGGCATGTAAATGGAGAATGGAGTCAGGCAGTTAGTTGTGGGGCTGAAAACGGGGAGAAAAAGTAAACCTTGCTTAAAAAAAAAAAATAAATAAATAGAACCTTGCAGTTTATTTCCTTGCATTCCCCCTGCTGTTCCTCAGGTCCTCCTTTCCCCTTCCACCTGTGTTCTGCCCACTCCATGCAGAACACCCTTGTCCTCCCACAATACATGTATTTCCCCACAAATATCTTTCATCTAAACCCTACTTAGCACTACCAGGTAGCTCCCACTCTCTGAATTCCCACATACCTTACAAGCCCCAGCTCCTTTCTAGGACTTGTATATTTGCTCAACACAGCAGTCCTGTTTTCCCTTCCTCATGCTCCAGCTGCTGCCTTTAGTTGGTTGCTCTGCAAGCTGTGTGGGTACCATTTGGCTAGCTGACCCAAACAGAAAGCAGCAGAGGCACTGGCACTCTTTTTCCCCTACCTGTTGATGAAGTCTGGGTAAAGTAGTATCTGCAAGCCTTTCACCTCACAGCCATTTTCACTCAATTTAGTAAGGAGGTCCATGTAACAGCAGGAGACAGCACCATTACACCTGCCTTCTTTTAAAAATCAAGCTGAAGCAGGTGAGTTAAAATTGAGCTCATAAGCAGAAAAGAGGACTTGAATCCTAGAGCTGGGATCCCATACATTCCTAAAAAAATCCCCTTTTGAAGTTGAACACAGCTGTGGTGGAAGCTGCAGGGAAATGAGACACTTGTTATAAGCCAGCCAGAATATGGAAAGGGGCAGCTGAGCAAATTTAGTCATCACAAGTGGCATGGCGGTTATACACAGAGGCATCACATGGGCAACCCAAAGCCAATACCTACTACCTCTTTAGAAGATTTGACAAAAGTCAAAAGAAAGCTGATGTGGCTAAAAAGTCAAGGCAAAGGGATTATCAGCATACATTCTTCAACAAGCTGACCTTGCATCCAAACGAGGAACACTGAAGTGATCATAACCTCCAGTGAGTGTTAAAGCACAACAAAGCAAAGGTAAAAAAAAGAGATGGAAAAACACTAGCAGAAGCCATCAGAACTAGTAATAAATCCTTTCCTATCGCTAATGAAAGCAGAAACCTTTTCACGAGCTTTGAGGACAACTGAAGAGCAGGGTACAAAAGAAGCAGTCAGAGAGAACAAGGACATCAAAACAAAGCTATTTATCTGTGACAGCGGAAGAAACTGGAGAAATTCCTACATAAACCCCCTGTTTTGTGGGAGACTAAACAAAAGGACCTATCCAAAATAAAAGGTATGAAATTAGTAGGTCTGGATAAAATGGTCCCAGGGATTCCCAAGAAACTCGGGGGGAACAGTTGCTAATAGCAATGGGAGGCCTCTCGCCTTAAATTGCCTTTTAATCAGCAAATCACAGGATGGCAAGGAATATATCAAAGTGTGGGGAGGAGAGAAATCTAGGGAGATTTAGGAATTTAAAGGTTTGACATCTGTAGTGGCCAAGTTAATAGAAATTATAATAAAAGAATAAAATGAATAGATGTGTATAAGTATGATGTACTTTGGGAAGAGCCAATATAAGACTTGCAAGGAAATTCCGCCTCTTGTAGTTCTTTGAAGAGATCAATAATCATGCATGAGAATAATCTAGCTATCTGTTGAGTTCCTCAGCAAACACTTCTAAGGAAAGTGAACAGCCATGGGATAAGAAGAAAGATCTTTTCATGGTAAGCAGACAGAAAAGGTGAGTAGGAATTAATGGTCAATTCCCACAGTGGAGGGAGAGCACCTACAGAGCTCTACCAGGTCTGTAATAGGATACACACTAACGTTTCCTTAAACAATATGGCAAAGAGAAATGATATGACAAAATCTGCTAATGATTTTTGTCAATCACATACCATATAAATCAATTAAATACCAATCAAACTAATCAATAACCAAATTGATCAGGGCAGTTATTCAAGAGCCAGTTGCAAAGAACTGCAGAAAGATGAGACCAAGCAGCAGAGTGGTAAAAGGGCAGAGTCCTGTGTATGTAAGCAATGCTCTTTAGGGAAGTGGGTAATGAAGCAAAGCACTTTAGGAAAATCAGCACTAACTTCACACATAAAATAGTGGGTTCGGAGGTTACCATTGCACATGTAAAGAAAATATAACTCAGACTATAACAGTTGTGTGATAAAACCTGATCTGAGGAAGAATGAGCAGCAAATTAAACACCAGGCACAATGAAAAAGGCATGAAGAATGAAACAGAAAATATTGTTATGGCACTGTATTGTTATGTCCTCATGACTCAAACCATCTGAAGAAGTGTACAGCAGGTCCAGAAAAGGCTCAGAGAAAGACAAGGGTGAAAAAATGGTGTAGCATGACTGTCGCATAAAGAACAATAGAGATAGGACAGTTCTACCCTGAAGATGGGAAGAGACAGAGGTTTACAGAACCATCAAGGAAAGGCTGAGTGAGGACTGAGTCATTTCTGTTTCTTTTAATACAAGAACCAGGGGTGATAAAAGGGGTCAGTTACTGAAGGAAGGTGGATCTTCACAAACACAGCTTAGGGCAATACACTCCTTTATCCAGGATGCTGGGCATCCTGAAAGCTTACTTGGCTTAAAGGTGGAACGTGTCAAAAAATAATGTGAGAGAAATGCACTGAGAGTTTACTTAATGCAAAGTAACCACACCCTAGTCAGCAAGTTCCTATTCTGATAACATTTGATACGGGGCAAAGCATTAAAGCAGAACAATTTGTATGTATCCCCTGTTTTTACTCTTTAGGCACTGACATCAGTGTGGTCTTTCTTAGATCATTTGTCCAAAGCATATAGCGGGTGAAGGTTGGGCAGGTGCAGAGAGCACAGCTTCAGGTTCTGCAGCCAACAGCATGAAGGCTGTTGCTGATGTGGTTCTCATCCTCTGAGCAGGTTTTGGTTTCCCCAACCAGCTGGGCTGACAGTGGGGTGACCTTTGGTAGAAGAGCTGTCTTTTAGGTAGCAGTCTTCTGCCATTTGTGGCAGAAGCACAGACACAGGGCAGGCAGCTTGCTGCATTCTGGAAAGAAGAGCAGACAGCAAAAAAGGCAGAAAGACAGAAAGGGGGAGGAAGCAAGGGGAAATTTTTCTAGCCAAACTGTATTTTCTCATTTTACTGTCATTCATGTAACCAAGTATTTATCATCACTCAGCCTTATGTGTGGTTTTGTTCAGTTTCTTGAATGGAGCATTGATAACACCAGATCTTCTCAAAAGACTTACTTGAGCACAGCTCACACGCATTCCTTTCATAAAACTCTCTGCTCTGATCTTATCTTGACCATAGGTGCCCACTGAAACAACAGCTCTGCATCACCTGCTCTTACGGCACCCTCTAGCTACCACAATTCTTCAGCTCACTCAGATAAAGCCTAAACTCAACCCTGGCTTTTTGTCCCTGCACCTGGGTGAGAAGAGCATCAGAAGTGAATGCACGCTGCCCTCTTGGTCTTCCCTCTCCACACCACCTTGCTCCTCTCCTAGGCACAAAGGCCATGGAGAGCAGAGCCCTTACAGCTAAGAGAAGAGCATAAAACAACATTAAAGCATGGAGAATGGGGCCCCAAGGCCTGACTTTGCGTAATCAGTAAGGGATGGCACATATGTAATCAAAGGGATCTTCTTTAGAACTCCTGAGGAATTTGTCTGGTTAGAGGGAATCTAGCAATAAGAGATCCCACTGTGTATCCTGCTGCAAGGAATTGGTTATGACAGGAT